AATTAGTGTTTTTGTTTCCTGTATGTAAATGCCCAGAAGTGAAGTTGCTGGGAAATGTAGTACTATTGTGAGTGTGTGTGTGTGTGTGTTGGGAAAATGCAGTACTATTTTTGAGAAACATTTAAGGCAATTTTAGGTATTATTCTAGTTTTGTGAAAAATGTTGGTATTTTTATAGGGATTGCATTAAATCTGTAAATTGCTTTGGGTAGTATGAACATTTTAACAATATCGGTTCTTCCAATGCACGAGCACAGAGTATTTTTCCATTTAGTGTCTTATGGTTAAATCTTATGTATAGATCTTTCACCTCCTTGGTTAAATTTATTCCTAGGTATTTTATTCTTTTTTGATACAATTGTAAATGGGATTATTTACTTAATTTCTCTTTCTTACAGTTCATTGTTAGTGTGTAGAAACACAGCTGATTTTTATAAGTTGATTTTGTGTCCTGAAAATTTACTGGATTTGTTTATTCAACAGTTTTTTGGGAGAGTCTTTAGGACTTTCTATATATAATATTATGCCATCTGCAAATAGCGACAGTTCTTTTCCAATTTGGATGCTTTTTATATCTTTTTCTTGCCTAATTTCTCTAGCCAAGACTTCCAATGTCATGCTGAGTATAAATGATGACAATGGACATCCTTGTCTTGCTCTGTTCCTGATCTTAGAAAAAGTTTTATCATTTCACCATTAAGTGTGTTAGCTGTGGGCTTGTCATATATTGCCTTTATTATGTTGCATTATGTCCTCTCTATACCCCCTTTGTTGACAGTTTTTATCATAACAGATGTTGAATTTTGCCAAATGCTTTTTCTGCGTCTGCTGAGATGATCATACGATTTTTATTCTTCATTTTGTTAATGTGGTGTATCACATTGATTGCCTTGCAGATATTGAACCATCCTTGCATCACTGGAATAAATCCCAGTTGGTCATTGTGTATGATCCTTTTGCTATATTGTTGAATTGAGTTTGCTACTATTTTGTTGAGGAATTTTGCATCTGTGTTCAACAGGGCTATTGACCTCTAATTTTCTTTTCTTGTGTGCTTGCCTGGATTTGGAATCCAGGTAATGCTAGCCTTGTAAAATCAGTTTGGAAGTATTCTTTCCTCTGTTTTTTCAAAGAGTTTGAGAACAGTTGGTATTAATTCTTCTTAAATGTTTGATAGAATTCAGCAATGAACCTACCTAGTCCTGGACTTTGTTTTTTGGGGGAGATTTTTTATTATTGATTCCATCTCCTTACTAGTAATCGGCCGTCAGATTTTCTCAGTCTTCACGATTCTGTCTTAGTAGATCACATTTTTTAGGAAATTACTTGTTTCTTCTAGCTTGTCTAATTTGTTGGCATGATCTTTTTTAGATCCATATTGCCTTCAGATTTCATGTGTGGCATATGAATCAACTAGGGATCTTATGAAAAAGCTCATTCTGATTCAGTAGGTTCTGTAGTTGAACCTCAGATTTTGTATCTTTCACAACCTCCCCAGTAATGTTCATGCTGCTGTTCTTCAGACTACGCTTGTGAATACAAACCTCTTGGATGCATATTCTTTTAAAAAAAATTTTTAAGTGTATCTATTCATTTCAAGAGAGACAAAGAGAGCAAACGGCTGAGGGGCAGAGAGAGAGGAAGAGAGAGAGTCCCAAGCAGGCTCTGTGCCATCAGTGCAGAGCTTGATACAGGGCTCAAACTCATGAGCCACAAGCTGAAATCAAGTGTTGGACACTTAGGCTGATTGAGCCACCCAGGTGCCCCAAAGTGGTTCATTTTTAGATGAGTCGATGATTGTGGCAAAGGAAGATTGAATTATTTTTTTTTTTCACATCACACAGCAAATTGATTTAGTGGAAAAGGTGTGAGCATTGGAGTTAGACTGATTTGAGGTCATATATGGCCTCAGGTAAATTGTGTAGTTTTTCTAAGCCTCATTTTCTTCACAGTGGAGTGGAAATATAATTACCATTGGGTTGATGTGAAGTTCTAACAAAAAGGTATTTTTAGGGGAACCTGGCTGGCTCAGTACAGCATGCAACTCTTGATCTCGGGGTCATTGAGTTCAAGCCCAATGTTGGGGGTAGAGTTTACTCAATAAAAAGTAAATAAATTTTTTTTTTAATTTTTTTTTTCAACGTTTATTTTTTTTTGGGACAGAGAGAGACAGAGCATGAACGGGGGAGGGAGACACAGAATCGGAAACAGGCTCCAGGCTCTGAGCCATCAGCCCAGAGCCTGACGCGGGGCTCGAACTCACGGACTGCGAGATCGTGACCTGGCTGAAGTCGGACGCTTAACTGACTGCGCCACCCAGGCGCCCCTAAATATTTTTTTAAAAGAAAAGATATTTTATTATTTTATTTTTTTTTATTGTCAAGTTAGCTAACATACAGTGTATACAGCATGCTCTTGGCTTTGGGAGTAGATTTCCATGATTCATCATTTACCTACAATACCCAGTGCTCATCCCAAAAAATGCTCTCCTCAGTCACCCATTTTCCCCACCTCCTGGGTCCCCAACCCCCATCAACCCTCAGGTTGTTCTCTGTATTTAAGAGTCTCTTATGGTTTACGTCCCTCTCTGTAGCTATTTTTTCCTTCCCTTCTCCCATGATCTTCTGTTAAGTTTCTCAACCTCCTCCTATGAGTGAAAGCATATGATATCTGTCTTTCTCTGACTTATTTCATTTAGCATAATACCCTCCAGTTTCATCCACATTGTTTCAAATGGCAAGATTTCATTCTTTTTTGTTGCCAAGTAGTATTCTATTGTATGTATGTGTGTATACATATATACACCACATCTTCATCCATTCATCAGTTGATGGACATGTGGTCTCTTTCCATAATTTGGTTATTGTTGATAGTGCTGCTATAAACACTGGGATACATGTGGCCCTATGAATCATCACTCCTGTATCCTTTGGATAAATTCCTAGTAGTGCATTGCTGGGTTGTAGGGTAATTCTATTTTTAATTTTTTGAGGAACCTGCATGCTGTTTCCCAGAATGGCTGCACTAGTTTGCATTCCCACCAATAATGCAAGAGGGTTCCCCTATCTCCACATCCTCATCAATGTCTGTTGTTTCCTAAGGTTTTAATTTTAGCCACTCTCATTAGTGTGAGGTGGTATCTCAATGTGATTTTGATTTGCATTTCCCTGATGACGAGTGATGTTGAGCATTTTTTCACGTGTCTGTTGGCCATTTGGATGTCTTCTTTTTAGAAGTGTCTATTCATGTCTTTTGCCCATTTCTTCACTGGATTATTTGTTTTTCGGATGTTGAGTTTGGTAAGTCTTCATAGATTTTGGATACTAACCCTTTATCTGATACGTCATTTACAGATATCTTCTCCCATTCCGTTGGTTGCCTTTAATTTTGTTGATTGTTTCCTTTGCTCTGCAGAAGCTTTTTATCTTGATGAGGTCCCAGTAGTTCAATTTTGCTTTTATTTCCCTTACCTTTGGAGATGTGTCAAGTAAGAAGTTGTTGCGGCTGAGGGCAAAGAGATTGTTGCCTGTTTTCTAGGATTTTGATGGTTTCTTGTCTCGCATTTAGGTCTTTCATCCATTTTGAATTGCAAGAAAGTGGTCCAGTTTCATTCTTCTGCGTGTTGCTGTCCAGTTCTCCCAGCACCATTTGCTAAAGAGACACTTTTTTTCTATTGGATACTCTTTCATGCTTTGTCGAAGATTAGTTGGCCATACATTTGTGGGTCCAATTCTGGGTTCTCTGTTCTATTCCATTGGTCTGTTCTTTTCCATGTGTCTGTTTTTGTGCCAAATACCGTACTGTCTTGATGATTTCACCTTTGTAGTACAGGCTAAGGTCCAGCCAGGATTGTGATGCCTCCAGCTTTAGTTTTCTTTTTCAACATTACGTTGGCTCTTTGGGGTCTTCAGTGGTTTCATACATATTTTAGGATTGTTTGTTCTAGCTCTGAGAAGAATGTTGGTGCTATTTTGATTGGGATTGCATTGAATGTGTAGATTGCTTTGGGTAGTGTCAACATTTTAACAATATTTGTTCTTCTAATCCATGACCATGGAATGTTTTCCCATTTCTTTGTGTCTTCAGTTTCTTGCGTAAGCTTTCTATAGTTTTCAGTGTACAGATCTTTTACCTCTTTGGTTAGGTTTATTCCTAAGTATTTTATGGTTCTTGGTGCAATTGTAAATGAGATCAGTTCCTTGATATCTCTTTCTGTTGCTTCATTATTGGCAAATAGAAATGCAACTTGATTTCTGTACATCGATTTTATATCTTGTGACTTTGCTGAATTCATGTATTAGTTCTAGCAGTTTTGGGGTGGAGTCTTTCCGGTTTTGCATGAAGAATATCATGTCATCTGCAAAAAGTGAAAGTTTAACTCCTTTGCCAATCTGGATGCCTTTTATTTCATTTTGTTGTCTGATTGCTGAGGCTAGGACTTCCAACACTATGTTAAACAAAAGTGGCAAAAGCGGACATTCCTCTCGTGTTCGTGATCTCCGGGGGAAAGCTCTTAGTTTTTCCCCATTAAGGATGATATTAGCTGTGGGTCTTTCATATATGGCTTTTACGATGTTAAGGTATGTTCCTTCTTTCCTGACTTTCTTGAGGGTTTTTATTAGGAAAGGATGCTGTATTTTGTCAAATGCTTTTCCTGCATCTATTGACAGGATCATATGGTTTTTATCCTTTCTTCTGTTAATGTGCTGTATCACATTGATTGATTTGCGAATATTGAACCAGCCCTGCAGCCCAGAAATGAATCCCACTTGTATTTTAAAAGATCCTCGTACAATGTCTGGCCTACTAGTTGTGACTACATTTAATGGTATTAAAAATGTCACAATATCCAGGAGCAAGGATCTTTTTTTTCTCACTGATCTTGGGGGTTAATCTTGTGTCCTTTAGTCATGCTTCCTTGTAATGTCAGGATTCCAATGAGGTAATTCTGAGATTTCCAAGGCAGGATTGATTTTCATTGCTTATTTCTCTTTCTCAGCCATGTCTTTGCAGGACCCCACTCTCGGCAGAGAGGGGAACACAGAGGAAGAGATTATGGCTGCTGTGGTTTTTTCTGTTGGACCTCTGGTAAGTTGGGGTTTCCTCTAGTGCTGACCTGCATCTTGGTTTAAGAGCATGTCTATTTTTCCTGAATTCTGTGACTTCTGTATCTCGCCCAGACCCCTTCTGGTAACTGAATCAGATGGTTTCCCCCATGAAAATTGGGTTTATCATAGTGAAGCTTGTAATCTGTAAGAAGTTTCACTCTACATATGGAACCAAATATCAAGACACATGATCTTTCAAAAAATACTTTTGCTATTTTTTTATAAACAGTCTAGGAAATTTACTTTTGATGTTAAATTTGTATTGTTCCCAGGAAATTTCAGTTATTTGTGGGGTAAAAGAATCGAATATTTTAAATTGGAAATATTGCTTAGGAAATTTTGGGGAAAGTATGTACACACACAGACACACCCACACCCTCTTAATTAAGAGGGACCGTTCCCCTTGTGCCCACTCTCAGTGATCTCCTCTTTTCTACCCATTAAGAAGTGACCAAGTTTAATAGATGACATGGAGAGAAAGAAGATGTTTAAGATACAGAGCTTGGCTGTAGGGTGCTACAGTCTCATTGAGGTAAGGCCTACAAAAGAAATAGTTACATAATTTGTTTAGGTGAATGATAGTTCCTGCATCTATTGCTAGGAATTTTGCTAATGATGCTTAGCTGTATGATAAACATGATGAGTGCTATGTAAGAAAAGAAATGGGCATTAGTATGGGCAAAACTGGTCACAGAAAGCTCATGAGGACAGTTAGACTTAGGTAGTACTCACAAGTGGGATTTAAGTTGTCGTAAAGTATTTAGAAGGGTACTTCAGGTGAGAAGGGAGTTTAAGGGCAAGAGAACAGTGGGGTGAGCTAGTGATTCCAGCTGGAAAGCATGGAAGATAGTACTGGAAATTAGATATTGAAGCTGAATCTTTTAATGTTTCCCTGAAGACATTTAAGTATATATATATATGTATGGTGTGTGTGTTTGAGGTGGGTGTCAGTGAGGTACAATCCGTGTCTTAGCAGTGACTTTTTGAAATAGATTCCGAAGAAAGGTAATACCAACAAATACAATTTGTCTAGTCGTGATCTGCGGTAACCTATAGTAGTGACCTTTCACTCTTTATAGCCAGGATGTATAACATGTAAACAGTCCTTAAAACATGCTCTTGAAAAGATAAATAAAAACCAAAATGTTACACTTGATCAGCATATCTGAAATATTTGTCTAGTATTGACATGGTCAGACCCATCCCTAATTACCAGAGGTTGATGTTCACATCATTAATTTTCTGGAAGCTGAATGTTTTTATTTTTTAGATAAGAACTTGGAAGGGCAGAAATAAGATAACAGTTTTTCTCAATGGACTTTCAGTAGTTTTATTATCCATAGTTTTTTTAAATGGCACACACAAAACCTAAAATCATAAGTACTAATCGAAAGAGGTAGTAAAATACCATCTCATTTATAAAATCAGGCCCTCGTAGGGATACAGCTTATAAGGTTAAGAAAATAATGTAGTGAGAAGTCCCTGAAATGCTACCTGAGTAACTACAAGACGTTCCCCCTGACCCCCCACAACACTGAAATGATTTTCAACTGTACAAAGTACATAGTGTTAGTAGGTTTTGAATACTATTCTTAAGATAGATACTTTCTGAGAAATGCATTTCAACTCTATATGAAAAGGGAAAATTATGTAGGATCTGAAGGCCTCTTACTATAAATCTATTTTTTTTGTTACAATAGGTTCTTTGTTGGAAGCCTCCTTTAAAAACTATGCGGTTGTATCTTTCTCAGTCTTGTGTTTGTCATTGTCTCAAACAAAGTTGAAGAAGATGACTGGATGTTACTGTGGGACGGTAATTTCAGCACTAAATTAACCAATAAAAGGGGCCACCCTGTTAATTTCAGCCCTAAATCAAACAATAAAAGGGATCATCCCATGTATGCCACATCCACAGTGGACCGTTGGTACTTGAGGCTCTGCTGTGAGTCATCAGCAGCCTATCACTGAGTGATCGTATCCTGTATCCCTTCAGAATCCTGAAGTTTCCAAGCCAGATGAAGACCTTCACCTTCAGGCTGAAGAACCAGAATTGGAAAAGGTAATGCCTAACATGTTACATGAGGGGAATAAAGTGCCTCTTTTACTGTGCCTGGTTCTTAGTGTTCCTAGTGCCTTGCAAGTTTGCAGTGAATATCATCTTGCTTGATAGCTGCAGTAACCCCAGGGCTGGCCGCATCAGTTTGACGGATTTCATTTCCCTTGGTGGCAGCCCTAATGTGGCAGGTCACATTGTAAGTACTGATGATAAAGTATCCTATATCACATGCTCTGATTCTTGCTTTGCATCGTGAGACTCACCACCATTAAAAATATCAAGAATACATGAACATCAGTGGAGATATTTAAGGTGTGTTTAAATTGGTTTAGGTTTTTTATTTCATTATATTAAGCTGACTTTCTTATTCATGAGTATAGAATTCAGCTGATTTTTCCAGAAAATACCAAAGTCAGAAATGTATGAAATATGTTAAGAAAAGTTATCTAAAACTTAGAAATAAGGCAAAAGGTAAATGTATGCCCTTTCAGTGTCGCATTAAACCATTGTCTAACCAGCCTGTGTAAGAGTCACCTGACATAGCCCGGAGAGTTACGTTGTTTGATGTACTAGTTACTGTTGGTTAATATCCAGAACATTGAAAATTTGCAAGTTATTTTACCTTGGAGAAAAAATAACCCCCAAATTTATGGTTTTATTGTCCTTGTAGGACATTCACCAGGTTTCTAACTAATTTTGCGGTCTTATTCCAGCATTCTTTTTTCTGCAGTCAGTAGACAGCTGTTTTTGTGTCTCCTTTGAACCTGGTTTGTCAGGCAGCTGATCTCTCATTAATGACTTAAGTAAATCTTTGGCATGTGTTGACAATACTTTTAGAATTACAGGGGTTAAATTAAAAAAAAATTTTTTTTGAAGTATAGTTGACATACAGTATTATATTAGTTTCAGTTGTACAGCATAGTGATTGGATAACTCACACAGTGCTCATGGCAATAAGCGTAGTTACTGTCTGTTACCATACAAAGTTATTACAATGTTATCGACTATACTCTCTGTGCTATACTTTTCATCTCTGTCGTTTATTTTATAACTGGAAGTTTGTACCTCTTAATCCCCTTCACCTATTTCACCCATCCTCTCACACACCCCCCCCAACAACCACCATTTTGTTCTCTGTATTTAGGAGTCTGTTTCTGTTTTTTGTTCTTTTGTTTTCTTTTTTAGATTCCACTTATAAGTGAAATCATATATTTATCTTTGATTTATTTCACTTAGCATAATAACCTCTAGGTCCATCAATGTTGTCAGGAATGACAAGGTTTTGTTTTTGTTTTTTCTTTCTTATGGCTGAGTAGTAGTTCAGTGTGTGTGTGTGTGTGTGTGTGTGTGTGTGTGTGTACATGTGTACATACCACATCTTCTTTATCCATTTATCTATCAGTAGACACTTGTGTTGCTTCTATATCTTAGCTATTGTAAATATTGCTACAATAATTATAGGGGTGCGTTTATCTTTTTGAATGAGTGTTTTTATTTTCTTTGGGCAACAACCCAGTGGTGGAATTACTGGATCATATAGTAATTCTAGTTTGAATTTTTTGAGGAACCTCCACACTGTTTTCCATAGCAGCTACACCAGCTTGCATTCCCATCAACAGTATACACAAGTGACTCCTTTTCTCCACACCCTTGCCAATTCTTATTATTTCTTGTCTTTTTTATTTTAAAGCCACTTTGACAGCTGTATCTCATTGTGATTTTGATTTGCATTTTTTTTGTTGACCACATGTTCTCTTTGGGAAAATGTTCATTCAGGTCACCTGCCCTTTTTAATTAGATTATTTGTTTTTTTGTTATTGAGTTGTGTGAATTCTTTCTAGATTTTGGATATTAACCCTTTCTCAGATAAATCATTTGCAGATACCTTCTCCCATTCATTTGGTTGCCTTTTTTCTTTTTTTAATTTTTGCAGGTAAACTCTATGCCCAATCTGGGGCTTGAACTCACGATCTGAAGTCAAGAGTTACAAGCTCCACTGACTGAACCAGGCAGGGCCCCTCAGCAGGTTGCCTTTTTGTGTTGATGGTTTCTTTGGCTATGCAAACACTTTTAGTTTCCTGTAGTCCCAGTTGTTTATTTTTGCTTTGGTTTCTCTTGCCTCAGGAGACAGATCCAGAAAACTGTTGCTAAGCCCTATGTTTTATGGTTTCAGGTCTTACATTTAGGTCTTTAATTCAGTTTTTCTTTATTTTTGTGTATGGTATAAGAAAGTGGTCCAGTTTCATTCTTTTATATGTAGCTGTCCAGTTTTCCCAACACCATTTTTTTTGAAGAGACAGTCTTTTTCCCATTCTTGCCTCCTCTCTTATAGATAATCGTGGTTTTTTGTTTTTTTTTAATTATGTAGAAGTTCAGCTCCTTTTTTTTAGAATTACGTTTTGAAGTTTTTTTAAATTATACTTTGAAAGTTGGTTTTATTCTAAGAATGTTTTGTGTAAAACTGGGCTTTTCTTTTTGCTTTTAGGAGAAAATACATTCTGACACTCAGTCGTACACATAATTTTTACATAGGTTTTTTTTTTTTTTTTAATTTAGTACTGGGCCAATCATCCTTAAAATTGTCCTTTAACATATGATAGTTTAGACTTAAAATTTTTAAGGTAAAGGGCCGCCTGGGTGGCGCAGTCGGTTAAGCGTCCGACTTCAGCCAGGTCACGATCTCGCGGTCCGTGAGTTCGAGCCCCGCGTCAGGCTCTGGGCTGATGGCTCGGAGCCTGGAGCCTGTTTCCGATTCTGTGTCTCCCTCTCTCTCTGCCCCTCCCCCGTTCATGCTCTGTCTCTCTCTGTCCCAAAAATAAATAAACGTTGGGAAAAAAAAAAAAAAATTTAAAAAAAAAAATTTTTTTTAAGGTAAAAATATTAATAGTTTCAGACTTTGAGTCATGAACTATAGGAAAGTGCCATTATTTTTGACCTGGTGAATAATTCATATGGTTTATTTTTGTTCTTCTGACAGGAAATCCCTGACAGAAGAGTAATTCTGTGTGGCTCTTTCTTAAATTCTACATCCTGTTGATAAGTACTGAACTTAGTTTTATTTAACTTAGTTTTATTTAACTTTAATTCTAGTAAAACCAGTTTTTCAGTGATAATTTTTAACATTCCCATATCTGCAAAAGTTGCAAATAGAATTTTCAGGGGCGCCTGGGTGGCTTCATCGGTTGGGCGTCCCACCTGAGCTTAGGTCATGAACTGATGGTCCGTGGGTTCGAGCCCCGCATCAGGCTCTGTGCTGACAGCTCAGAGCCTGGAACCTCCTTCAGATTCTGTGTCTCCCTCTCTCTCTGCCCCTCCCCACTCGCTCTCTGTGTCTCAAAAATAAATAAGCATTAAAAAAAAGTTTTTTAATTAAAAAAAAAAGAATTTTCATAGAACGTGTATTGAATCTGTTGATCAATTTGGGAAATATTAAAGTCTTAATATTAAGTTTTATAATAAGAATATGGAATGTTTTCCCATTTAGGTATTCTTCAGTTTCTTTCAGTGATGTTTTGTCATTTTCAGTGTATGTGTTGTGCATATCTTTTGTTAAATTCATTCCTAGGTGTTTTATTCTTTTTGCTATTTTAAATGGATTTTTTTCTTAATTTCTTTTTTGGAATGTTCATTGCTAGTGTATAGAAATGGTTGACTTAACGTATATTGATCTTGTGTCCTGAACCTTGCTGAACTAGTTTATTTAGTTCTAGAAGGGTTTTAGTTTTTGTTTTTGTTTTTGTTTTTGCATGGGCATGTGTGTGGATTTTTGTTGGGTTTTCTATATGCAACATAATATCATCTGTAAGTGGAGATTATGTCATTTCCAAATAGAAATTTACTTCTTCCTTTCCAATCTGGATACCTCATATTTCTTTTTCTTCTCTAGTTTCTCTTGCTAAAACTTATAGTATAATGTTGAATAGAAGTGAGGAGAGGGGACATCTTTGTGAGGTTTATGATCACAGAGGGAATGCATATGGCCATTCACTATTATGATGTTTGATTTGGGTTTTCACAAATGGTCTCTATCATGTTGACGAAGTTTGCTTCTATTTCTAGTTTGTTGGGTTTTGTCACATACTTAGTTGGGTCTATTAACATCATTGTGTGGGTTTTCTTTATTAATATGGTGTATTACCTTGACTGACTTTAAGATATTAAATGAACTTTGTACACATGGGATAAATCCCATTTGGCTATGGCATATATTATGTTTTCTTTGTTGCTGTTTTCAAACTGAATCAGACTGAATTAATTCTGTCTCGCTCTTCCTTAAATTCTACATTTGTCTTATTGTGGTAATACTGGCCTTACAGAATGAGTTGAGAATGTTTCCTTGTGTTTTTTGGAAGAGTTAGTGAAAGATTGGTGTTAATTCTTCTTGAAATGTCTGGTGGAATTCACTGAAGCCACTTGAACCTGGGTGTTTATTCGTGGGAAGTTTAATTATAATTTTCATATTTTCTATGTCTTCTTGAGTCACTTTTGGTAGTTTGTGTCTTCCTAGGAATCTGCCCATTTTATCTAGATTTTTCTAATTTGTTGGCATACAGTTGTTCATAGTATATTCTTTTATAATCCTTTTATTTCTGTAAGGTCAGTAGTAATGTCTCCTTTTTCATTCCTGATTTTAGTAATTTGAGTCTTCTCTTTTTTCTTAGTCAGTCTACCTAAGGGCTTTGTAATTGTTATCTTTTCAAAGAACTGACTTTTGCATTAGTTGATTTTCTCTATTGTTTTTCTATTCTCTGTTTGGTTTATCTGGATTCTAATATTTATTATTTCCTTCTGCTTTAAAAAAAATTTTAGTTTGGGGCACCTGGGTGGCTCAGTCGGTTGAGCGCCAACGTGGGTCATGATCTCACGGTTTGTGGGTTTGAGCCCCACATCGGGCTCTGTGCTTACAGCTCGGAGCCTGGAGCCTGCTTTGGATTCTGTGTCTCCTGTCTCTGTCCTTCCCCTGCTCACGCTCTGCTTCTCTCTCTCTCTCTCTCTCTCTCTCTCTCTCTCTCTCTCTCTCAAAAATGAAGAAACATTAAAAAAATGAACAGGAGGGTCATTACCTTGGTGAAGTGTCCCTTTAAAAAAAAAAATTAGTTCACTCTTCCTTTTCTAGTTCCCTAAGGTATACATTTAATTTTTTATTAAGTTCTTAATTTGAATTCCAGTAGAGTTAACATACAGTGTTATATTAGTTCATGCCTCACTTTTCTTATTAGCACCTTCCTTATTGTGAGGATTCAGTCATTATGTAACAAGCCCTTATTAGATCAGTACCTGACAAATATTATGCACTATACATATACATGAATCCATTTGCGCCTGTTGCCAGCCTCCCAACAATTATTGGACCATGGATAATAATCATGTTTCATTTGTAATCTTACCCTCTCTCACTAATTATTTTGAAGCATATACAAGACATTATATAATTTATCTATAAATATCTCATTATATATCTATAAAAGATGTGTTTTAATGTTACATATACTATCATGGTTACAGCTAAAAAATCAGCAGAAAGCCTTAATATCAAATGTGGAGTTGGTATTTGTTTCCCCGATTGATTCACATGTTATGATTACTTACTGTTGTCTCTTAGGTCACTTTTAGGCTAGAGGTCCCCCCCCTCCTTTTCCCCCTTGTAATAATTCATTGAAAAACCACGTTATTTCTACTTTAGAACTGTGTTGTCCAATACAGTAGCCACTAGCCACATGTGGCTTTTGAGCACATGAAATGTAACTAATCCAAACTGAGATATGCTGTCAATTTAAGATGCACATCACTTCAAAGACTTAATACAAAAGATAGAATCTCATTAATAATTTTTACATTGATTGCACATTGAAATTATATGTGCACTAGTCTGAATGTATTATTTAAAATAATTTCACTTGTTTTCTTTTATGTTATTTATTTATTTACTTTATTCTGAGAGAGAGAAAGAGAGAGCATGAGCAGGGGAGGGGCAGAGAGAGGGAGAGAGAGAGAGTCCCCAGTGCATGGCTTGAACTCACATACTGTGAGATCGTGACCTGAGCTGAAACCAAAAGTCAGACACTTAACCAGCTGAGCCACCGAGGCGCCCCTCACTTGTTTTCTTTTTAACGGGGCTACTAGAAAACCTTACATTACATATGTGACTTGCAATATACTTCTTTGGACAGCATTGATTTAGAATTTCACACAATTTGGATTTTATTTATTGTGTCTCCATGGGGATATTTAACATGTTCATCTGTTCCCTGTATTGTTAGTCAGATCTAAAGGCTTTATCAGATTCCAGTTTGACTCTTTTAAAAATGTTTTTGACAATAGTATTTCATGTGTCTGGTGTATACTACCAGAAGGCACCTATGCCTGGTCGAGAGGCCTCTTTGATATATTAGCAGCCACTGATGACCCTTTAATTCGTTAAAAGTTACAAAATGTTGATATTCTAATTCTTTTATTTCTTTTCATGTATTAGCTGGAATCCTTCCATAAAGAGAAATCTCTCCTCATCAACAATGTGATCACACTTGATAACCATAAAAATTATAATATTTTACATGGGAAAAGGACAAAAGGTTAATTCTTTCTCTTTATTTGCCAGTTTCAAGGCATCCTCCAAAAATGATCAATGAGTATTTTTATAGTATTATTATGAAATCATGAGCTTAAAGGTATATTTTTGAAACCCATTGTAGTTTATTATTCTTACTGATGTTCAAATTGTCCCATTATTAGCTAGGGGGAGACTCTTCAAGTAGTGTTTGATAGCTTGTTTGCATTTTGGTATCACAGAAAGTTCCAGGCCCTGATTCCTTTTAGTGGGAGGTAAAGTCTAGCTTACATAATGTTACTTTATTAGCTATTGTTTTTATTTTTAGGACTTTTCAGTGGATGAAGCTAGGAAAAATATTTTTCTTTCCTAAAAAATAAAATAATTCATGAGTTTATACTGATACTTCCAATTCAAATTTGGATCTATGGAATTACTGTATAATCTCATCAGTATTACATTTATATCTTCTTTCTCCCCTGCCAAATTTATCTCTTCTCAATGACAGCAACGTAATAATTTGTTTTATCAAACACTACACACATAGCAGTTACAAAATACCATTTTCATCATTACCACCAACAATCAGGCTATTTATTGAAAACATACAGTTTTTGCACTTCTTTTTCTTCTTGAGGTATATCTCACAAAGGATGAACAGAAAAATTGCTATGTTTTAAAGTTACTTAAAATAATTACTCTTTGATGAATGCATATACTTCAAACTGGTTGCATTTTACTTTTAATTTTTAGGAATGACTTTTTAAATTTAAAATTTTTCTTTTATAATAATACATTTACATGTTCAAAAGTAAAATCTAAAAAACAAGGAATATTCAAAAGAGTCTAGCCTCTATTCCAGTCCTCTCCATTTTCATGCTCAAAGTGAGAGCTTACAATATTCTGTATCTGCAATCTGATTGATAAACTGCATCTTTTATGAAGCCATATTCTATAGATTTGGAACTGAAAAAGAGCTGATATTGTAGATACCTATAGATAAGCCAGGGTTTTGAGGGAGAAAAGATTATTTGGGTAGAAACTACTAGCTGTTACCAATATTAAGACTTTCTAGAGAAGGAGGAAACCATGCTGTTTGATTCCAGATAATGTAGTAAGACCAATATTTCAGAGTTAGAGAAAGCCAGAATTGAATTAGTGTGAAAAGAACATTTTCACAGGAGGAGTAAAACTCCTCTTGTGGTTTTAAGTTCTTGTCACTGGAGAGATTCATCCTTTAAGGGCTGAACTGGTTGACTTCAGTGGTCATTTAGTGGCCATGAGTTCCAGAAGTTTCCTCCAGTTTTGTATGTGTTATTCTGCCCAACAGGTCTTATTATATAGTCCCCAGGTGATCGTAGTATATTTATTTTAGGATTCTGTGACATTTAAAGATGTGGCTATAGACTTCTCATTAGAAGAGTGGAGGTTGATGGACCTTTCCCAGAGGAACCTGCACAAGGACGTGATGCTAGAGAATTACAGGAATCTTGTCTCCCTGGGTAAGAATAACTTCTTTGTTCGTTTACTGACCATTTGACCGGGTTTGCTGAAGACAGAGAACCTTCAAAGTACTTAAATGAATTTGGGGTTAGAGCTTAGGCATTAAACTCTTCTATTGTGGGGATGTTGGTGGGAGCCATGCCATCCCTTGTGCTTAACTAAGCGGTCTGCCCATTGTAAAGTAAGAAATACACATTTCGTTGGAGTCTTGGAGATTGTTGACAGTCCCCAGATTTAGGACTAAAGTTTTTTCTGATCACGTTTATAAATGAGGGCTATAGTTATCAGTACCTCCAGAAAGAAAGACACAAATGCATTCATTTTCTTCCTAAACTCAGATTACTCCCATGTTCTATTATCCCAGAAAACCTGGGATCATCGTGTTGACCTCCTTTGAGATAATGTTTGTAATTCTCTATAACTCCAGTGTACAATAGAATGTTCTGCTGTGATGGCAATGTTCTGTATCTGTGCTCTCCAATATGGACACACTAGCCACTTGAAGCTACTAACAGCTTGAAATCTGGCTAGTACAACTGAAGAACTGAATTTTAAATTTTACATAGTTTTAACTAATTCAAATTTAAATAGCCACCTGAGAGTACTGAAAAGTGTATTGGACAGTCCGTCTCTAGAACTTACCATAATAGCCACTCTGCACAGAAGATTAAGAGCTGAGACTGAGTTTGGCAATAGTTCTTACTCCTAAACACAGTCAAATCCTATTCATTCCTCTCTAACAAGGGCTTGCAGTTTCCAAACCAGACATGATATCTCACCTGGAGGATGGCAAAGGACCGTGGGTGGTAGTGAGGGAAATTGCAAGAACCCCCTATCCAGGTGAGTTCAAAAGAACCAGGAGGATTGGATTTATTGCAAGTTAGTAGGTTATGGCTGGAGCAGAACATCTGAAATACTTGGAAGAGTATCATCTCTCCCCCACCTTGCCTGCTCTCTCTTTTTGCCTCTCTCTCTGTTCTCTACTTTTGGTTCCTGCCCCATCCTATGTTGCTGTCTTGAGGACATGATTTTCATAATTATTCCTTCACTCAAACATGCATGAAACCTCCCTTTCAGTTCTATCTTCTCAGTTAACTTTACATTTTTCTCATTTGTTTAACTATTATCTGACCTTTCTTCCTTCATTAATCTTCCTAAAAATGCTTTGTTAAGGGTCACCCCTGATTTTAATGTTTATTTATTTTTGAGAGAGAGAAAACACAAGTGGGGGAAGGGCAGAGAGAGAAGGAGACACAGAATCCAAAGCACGCTTCAAGCTCTGAGCTGATAGCAGAGAGCCCCATGTGGGGCTCAAACCCACGAACCGCGAGATCATGACCTGAGCCAAATTCAGACATTTAACCTACTAAGCCACTCAGACACCCCTCTGCTGATTTTCTTAAAGTTTATTTATTTTGAGAGAAAGAGAGAGAGAAAAAAAAACGAGTCAGGGAGGGGCAGAGAATGAGGGAGAGAGAATCCCAAGCAGGCACTGTCAGCACAGAGCCTGACACAAGGACTAGATCCCACAGACCGTGAGATCATGACCTGAGCTGAAACCAAGAGTCTCATGCTTAACTGACAGAGCCAACCAGATGCCCCACCACTGATTTCTTTTAACCTAAACCTATTTACTCATTATTTAACTTGCAGGTGAACCTGCAAGCCTGCCAAAACTTTGGGGGAACCCTCCTGTTCTCCTCCAGTTTCTTAACTAATTGAAAATACAAACTAGGTATCAGTTGAGAATTAAATACAGTATTTATTCATATATTTAATTGATATTTATCACACATCTCTTTCCTGCGTACTGGGTTAGGTACTAGGTCTACAACAATGAGTGAGATGGACCAGGTCCCTGCCGTCATGAAGATTATATTGTGAGAAGTTGACAAGTATATAAATAAAAACAAGCTAAATAGCAGATATAACAACCTTCAGTTATGAGATAAACTGGGTGAGCTATGAGATATGAAAGAGTGACTGGGATGGGGATGAGGGTACCTCCCTCAGAGAGTGTGGTCAGAAGGCTTCTGAAGAGGGGCTTTTAAGCTGAGCCTTGAAGATTCAGAAACAACCGGCCAAAGGAAGAGGAAAGGAGAAGCATTCCAGACAGAGGACCTGACACAGAAAAGAATGAAATGTGTTCTAGAACTCGAAAGGAGTCTGCTGTGAGAGGGAGGCTGGTATCAGAGCTAGGCAGCAGCTTGCCCATCCAGGGCTTTGTAGGTGACGATGATGAGTTTGGATTTTAATCAGTGAGTGTGAAGGCATTGACAGACTTTAATCAAGGATTTTAGGAAGTAACTCTGCGGAGACTGAACTTGAGGGCACTAAATCAGGTAATCAGTTAAGAGGTTGTTACAATAGTATGAGCAGAGATGATAACTTTGATTAAAGTAATAGTGGAGATGGAACAAAAGAAATGGATTCTAGTTCACTTGAACATTCATTTTATCATGATGCCGTGCATAACTCACGTATGTGTTACATATATTCTTTTCATATGTCAATATTATGTATTTTTTGTTCAACTATAATATATAGTTTTTTTTTAATTTTTTTATTACGTTTCTTTATTTTTGAGAGGAAGAGAGAGCCAGCACGAATGGGGGAGGGGCAGAGAGAGAGGGAGACACAGAATGGGAAGTAGGCTCCAGGCTCTGAGCTGTCAGCCCAGAACCTGACGCGGGGCTCGAACCCATGAACCGAGATCGTGACCCAAGCCGAAGTCGGACACTCAACCGACTGAGTCACCCAGGCGCCCCAACATATAGTTTTATATGAATTTCAGGTGCACAGTATTATGATTCAGCAATTCTGTACATCTCTTAGTGCTCGTGAAGATAAGTGTATTCATAACCCCCTTTATCTATTTCCTCCATCATCCCACTCACCTACCCTCTAGCAACCACCAGTGTGTTCTCTGGGAGTCTGGGAGTTTTTTGCCTCTTTTTTTCTTTATTCATTTGTTTCTTACATCACACAATGAGTGAAATCATATGGTATATGTCTTCCTCTGACTTATTTCACTTAGCATTATACCCTCTGGGTCCGTCCGCATTGTTGAAAATGGCAAGATTTCACTTTTTTGATCACTGAGTAATATTGCATTCTATATATACACCACATCTTCTTTATCCATTCATCTATTGATGGACCCTTGGGCTACTTCCATATCTTGGTTATTGTAAATAGTGGTGCAATAAACATAGGGGTGCGTGTATCTTTTCAAATTAGTTTTTTTGTTTTATGTGAGTAAATACCTAGTAGTTGAATTACTGGATCATATGGTATTTCTGTTTTTAATTTTTTTGAGGAACCTCCACACTGTTTTCCATATTAGCTGTACCAGTTTGCATTCTCACCAACAGTGTGTGAGGGTTCCTTTTTCTTCACATCCTCACCAACATTTGCTATTTATTGTGTTTTTTATTTTAGCTGTTCTGACAGGTGTAAAGTGGTATCTCATTGTGGTTTTAATTTGCATTTCCCTGATGAGTAGTGGTGTTGAGCATTTTTTCATGTGTCTGTTGGCCATCTGGATGTCTTTAGAAAAATATCTCTTCATGTTTTCTGCCCATTTTAAATTACATTATTTGTCTTTTGGGTGTTGAGTTGTATAAGTTCTTTATGTATTTTGGATAGTAGCCCCTTATCAGATAATGTCATTTGCGAATAATCTTCTTCCATTCAGTAAGTTGCCTTTCTGTTTTGTTGGTGGTTTCCTTTGCTATGCAGAAGCTTTTAGTTTGGTGTATTCCCAGTAGTTTAATTTTGCTTAGATACCCTTGCCTGAGGAGACAGATCTAGAAAAATGTTTCTATGCCTGATGTCAGAGAAATCACTGCCTGTATTTTCTTCTAGGAATGTTTCGGTTTCAGGCCTCACATTTAGGTCTTTAATCCATTTTGAATTTATTTTTTGTGCATGGTGTAAGAAAGTGGTCCCGTTTCATTCTTTTGCATGTAGCTGTCCAGTTTTCCCAGCACTGTTTGTTGAAGAGACTGTCTTTTCCCCATTGTATATTCTTGCCTCCTTTGTTATAGATTCATTGACCATACAACCATGGGTTTATTTCTGGACTCTATTCCTGTTCCATTGATCTAGGTCTGTTTCTGTGCCAGTGACATACTGTTTTGATTACTGCTGTATCATAATATATTTTGAAATCTGAGATTGAGATACCCCCAGCTCTGTTCTTTTTCAGGATTGCTTTGGCTATTTCTGCTCTTCTGTGGTTCCATACCAATTTTAGGATTATTCTAGTTCTGTGAAATACGTTGTTGGTATTTTGACAGGGATTACATTGAATCTGTAGATTGCTTTGGGTAGTATAGACATTTTAACAATATTGGCTCTTCCAACCCATGTATCATCTTCAGTTCCTTTCATTAACGTTGACTGTTGAAAATACTATATATTTTTAAAAGAGTGAATGAAAAGTAGACATTGGAGACAGTTTTAGGTGACTCTTTAGAGAAGGATTTCCCCCTTCCCCCATCAAGAGGGAAAGAGAGATGGGGCAGTGGCTATAGGAAAGTGTGGAATGAGGGAAAAAACTCTTGTTTTGTATTTAAGATGGGAGTATTTATGGCATGACTGAGTAATAAGAAAGATACCCTGATGGAGAGGGAGAAATTGACTTTGGAAGACCAGTGGGATCACTGAAGAGTTCACATGTCTGAGGAGGTTAAAGAGGATAAACTCAAGAAAGGAAAAGGAAGGAGGGCTTCACCACTGATAGGCAGAGAGGCCACCTTTTCTGTTATAACACTAGGAAAGATGGAGAAGGCAGGCGTAGATAAAAGGTCAAATGGTGGTGAGAAGATCAAGGCATTCGATTTTAATAGGCTCTGAATTTTCAGTAAAATATGAAGCAAGGCCACCAGCTTATAGTGAGGATAAGAAAGAGTTGTAAGAGAGGGAAAGATACATATAAAAAAGCTTAAAATTAAAAACAAAAAGATACATAGATTTCACTAGGGAAGCCACATTGACCTCATGCTTTTATTAGGGAAGGAGTTTAATTATAGTTTCTATTCCTTCTGTAGCTATAGGACTATTAACATTTCCTATTTCTTTCTGTTTTAGTAAATTATATGTATCTGGGAATTGATCCATTTACTCTAAAATTTAAATTTATTGGCATACTGTCCTCTCCTTTAAATGTCTATGTGGATCTGAAGTAATGTTTCCCTTTTCATTCCTGATACTGATTTTTTTTTTAATCTTCTCTCTGTTTTCTTATTCAGTCTGTGTGGAGCCTGATGTGGGGCTCAAACCCACGAACCAGGAGATCATGACCTAAGCCAAAGTGCCCCAATCTTATTTGGCTTTTAAAATAACTTTTTTGTGTGTTTGATTTCTCTATTATTACTTTCTTCTCTTTATTTTATTATTTTTAACCTTTTTAGCATTTAATTTGCTGATCTTTTTTAACTTCCTAAGTTGGGTACTTATATCGTTGATTTTCAGCCACTCTTTTTTTATAGCTTATTTAAGGCAATCTAGACTGCATCACACCCCATTAAAAGACAAGAGAAAATTCTTCTTGACAACACCAAAAAAAGAAAAGTAGACTACATCACATCTTTTTTTTTTACTGTAGCAACTTCATAATTATTGAGTTCAAAACATTTGATAATTTCCATTGTGATGTCTTTGTCCCTTGTGCTCTTTAGAAGCATTTTTCTTAATCTTGTACCATCTGGGATTTTCTAGTATTCTTTTTTTTTTTTTAGGTTTATTTATTTATTTTGAGAGAGAAAGAATGAGTGGGGGAGGAGCAGAGAGGAAGGGAGAGAGACAGAATCCCGAGCAGGCTCCACACTGTCAGCGAGGAACCCAATGCGGGGCTCGAGCCCACAAACCCGTGAGATCATGACCGGAGGCAAAATCAAGAATCAGGCACTCAACCAACTGAACCACCCAGGTGCCCCAGGAAAACAGATTGTTATGAACTTATGCAAAGAACTATAATTGCTATGAAAGAAAGAATGAATACACACTGAGATATCTGAACTCTGGGGTTCAGGGAGTATTCTTGTTACCTTAATTTTTCCTGTGGTCAGAAAACATGCTATGGATGATTTTAGTCTTTATAAGTTTCTTAAAATTTGCATTACCACACGGCCAATTTTTGAAAACGTTGTATGTGCACTTGGAGAAAATGTGTAGCCTATTGGTATTAAGTGCAGTTTTAGTTATACCAAATATATTATGTTGCTAAAATCTATGTGCTTACTGATTGTCAGCTTATTCTGTCAGTTATTAAGGTTTTTCAAAGTCTCCCAGTAAGACTGTAAACTTGTCTGTTTCTTATTTTAGTTGCTTTAATTATTGCTTTATGTATTTTGAAGCTGTCCTATTAGGTAAATGCAAAGTTATAACTGCTACATCCTTCTGTTAAAATGGACCTTTTATCCTCATGAAGTGTCTTTATCTCTGTACTGGTTTTGCCTCATCCTAATATTATTATAGCATCTTTCTTCTGGTTATTGTTTTATCGTATATCATTTTAATTCTGTTCACGATCATCTTTTATATATCCTTGTATTTTGTTTCTCTGATAAGTAGCATATTGTTAGATTTTTCTTTTCACCAATCTGACAGTCTGTATCTCTTGGAGTATTTAGTTCCTATACATATAATTCAGTTACGTAATGTTTAAATCTATCATCTAACTGTGCAAGTGTCTTGCACGTTCTGTATTCTTTTTTCCCCCATTCATGCATTTAGATTTATTATCTTATTTTTCTATTTACTTGGTAATTACAAATTTCCAAAATTAGTTGTGTAGTGGTTAACTCTGAGATTAAAGCATGCATCCTTCATTCAGCAGTCTAATGTAAATTGTCCTTCTTCCTAAACAACACAAGAATCTTACAACCACTTATTTCATTTAACCTGATTTATATGTTGTTGAAATTATGTATTTTAACTGTGTCTATATGTCAGATCTCATAAGAGCATTATTAATGTTCTGTTCCGTCAGTGTTCATTTAGATTTGCCTATGTTTTTGCCTATATTTTCTCCTCCTATTTCTCTTCATTTCTGAGCTTGTATCTAGGATTATTTTTCTTCTGTTTAAAGAGTACCCTTTAATATTTTATTTTACCCACATCTTCTAGTGTCCTACTCCCTCCATTTTCTTTTTTGTCTAAAAATATCTTCAGTCTTCATTTTTAGATAATAGGCTTTCTAGGTTGGCATTTACATTCTTTCAGCATTTTGGAAGGTATCATTCCGTTGTTTCCTGTCTTACATCTACTCCCTTGACAAGTCAGTCATCTGTCTAATTCAGGAGTCAGTAAACTTTTTTCTGTAAAAGACAAGACAGTAGATATTTTAGGCTTTGTAGAGACATAATCCCTCTGTTGCAGCTACTCCATTCAGCCATTGTAAGTGCAAAAGCCTCCAGAGACAAAATGTTAACCAAAGAATATGGTTATATTCCACTAAAACTTTATTTAGGGACCCTGAAATTTGAAATTCATAGTTTAATGTGTCATAATATGTTATCCTTTTAATATATTTTTCAACCATTTAAGAATGTATATTCTTATCTCACCGGCCACACGAAAATGTAGTGGGACAGATTTGCTGTAGTTTGCAACCTCTGATCTGTTGGCGCTCCTTGATAGAACTCTTAAAGTTTTTTTTTTTTTTAATGTTTATTCATTTTTGAGAGAGAGAGAGAGAGAGAGCGTGAGAGCGTGAGCAGGGGAGGGGCAGAGAGAGAGGGAGACACAGAATACAAAGCAGGCTCCAGGCTCTGAGCTGTCAGCACAGAGCCTGACACGGGGAACTGCGAGATCTTGACCTGAGCCTAAGTCAGACACTCAACCGGCTGAGCCACCCAAGTGCCCCCAAAATCTCTTAGTTTCCATTATTTTTTCCTTGTATTCCTCCCACTTGGAATTCATTTGGCTTCTTTTTTTTTCTTTTCTTTTATTTATTTATTTTTTTTCAATATATGAAGTTTATTGTCAAATTGGTTTCCATACTTCATTTGGCTTCTAAAATCTATGCCTTGAGGGGCGCCTGGGTGGCGCAGTCGGTTAAGCGTCCAACTTCAGCCAGGTCACGATCTCGCAGTCCGTGAGTTCGAGCCCCGCGTCGGGCTCTGGGCTGATGGCTCAGAGCCTGGAGCCTGTTTCAGATTCTGTGTCTCCCTCTCTCTCTGCCCCTCCCCCGTTCATGCTCTGTCTCTCTCTGTCCCAAAAATAAATAAACGTTGAAAAAAAAAATTTTTTTTTAAATCTATGCCTTGATATTTTTTATTCTGTTTTGGAAAATGCTTCAGCATTATTTCTTTGAATTTGATTTCATCCCATTCTCTCTCACTTCTCTTTCGAGCTTTCTGGGACTCTTTCACATCTGTGATAGACCTTATCACTCTATCCCATGTGTCTCTAATGACTTTTGAAATTAAGTTTTCAAGTTTTTCATCATTCTGTACTTCAATATGCATATTTTCTACTGACCTGTTTCCCATTTTGCTAACACTCATGTGTCAAATCTGTGTTTTTCAGCCTATCCTTTGAGTTATTTTCCAGTTCTAGAATCACCATTTGGTTCTTATTTTATACTTTCCAATTATTTGGTGAAATTACTGGTCTTGTCTTATTTTCTTGAATATACTAATCATGATTATTTTGTAAATTTATGTCTGAGACCTCAACTGTCTGGATTCCTTCTAGATCTGTTTCTTCTCTTGACTTTTTTCTAATTAGACTTTTGTCTCCTTGTATGCCTATTATTTTCCACTGTCAAGCATTGATATGAAAACCTATAACAATAATTTGAGGTTCTGGATTGTGTAAGCTTTTTTCATAGAGGATTGTTTGCTTTTGGCAGGCTGCCAGGATAAAGGTTCTAACAGTCCTCAGTTACCTTAATTCAGTTAGACATTTAAAAGAGCTGGGTTCCAGAGTTGTCCTCTTTGGTGGCCCTAAACTTAAAACTTGGCCTATTTTGAAAAAGATTACACTGCAGGGTGGTGGTCTTACAACTTGTTTGTATATACAGTGTAAAATTTTACTATTATATTTCTTTTAAATTTCTAAACGTGGGTGCCTGCATGTCTTAGTGAGTTAAGCGTCAGACTCTTGGTTTCAGCTCAGGTCATAAACTTGCAGTTCATGAGTTTGAGCCCCACGTTGGGCTCTGTGCTGACAGTGCAGAACCTGCTTGGGATGCTCTCTCTCTCTCTCTCTCTCTCTCTCTCTCTCTCTCTCTCTCTCCCCCTCCCCCACTCATGCTCTCTCTCAAAATAAACTTAAGAAAAGTTTATAAATTTGCAAACTCTATAAATTTGCAAACTATAAATTTGCAAATTCTATAAATTTGCAAACTCATTTACAGGCAATTTTTTCTCAATGTTTAAAAAAACAAATTGGATCAAAACCTTTTGTGGATAGTTTTTTACTTTAAAACTCAAGGTATAAGTAGTTTTGATCCAGTTTTTGTCAGACATACAGGAATGTTGTTAAGATATAAAAAGGTTGCAAAACTACCTTCGGTGATAATTATTATCACTATTTAGAATATTAATAGCTATAAATACTAATTTTTACTAACTTACTGTTCAGACTACTTTTTGAAGAATCAAAGTGTCTTTTTCCATAAACATTTGATTAATAAGTACATAAAAAGACTTGAATAAGCTGATCTCACATGAAAATTTGAGAAAGCCGTCATACAAAAAAGCTAGCAAACAAAGAATGAAAACAAATAGAAAGTATGGTTGGAAACAACTGCCTGGTTTGTAGAGTAAATGGAAAGAAAGGAAGTAGTCGTGACTATGAAGAATGCTCTATAAATGCTGACTATAAAGGAAATGAGAAAAGAAGTATTTGAGAGGCTTAGATTCTAGGGGGTTACCGTAAATGAATTTGTTTAGTAGGGGAAAAACTCTGAATTTGTTACTTTGGTTCTTGGCTCAACCAGTCTCCCTCAAACCTGTCTCCTCCTTAGAAAATAAGGCCAGTTTGGAAGCAGTTAAAACTTTGTATTCGTTATCAGCTCAGCTTTCCCTTTTCCCTGTTTACTGAGATCTTCCTAACTTAGGAAATAGGAGTCATTTGATTTGATTTTTATCTTTTTTCCCCCCAGAGCTGGAGACCAAACCTGCAGCCAAGAATGTTGTATCAGCAGAAAATACTTCTGAAGATGTATCACAAGAGACCATAATAGATAAACTCACAGAGAACAGTCTGTGGAACCCCAGAATGGGAGGATTATGGAAATGGAATGAAAGGATATTGAGATTGCAAAATAGTCAAGAAAATCATTTGAGTCAAAGAATAGTTACTCACAAGAAAATTTCCACTGGTCAAAGAGGATTTAGATTTGGATCTATTCTTTTTCCAGAAGCGGGAGTTATCACAGAAGGGCCCCACGGCAAATGCCAAACACGTGAAAATTTCACTGAGAATTTAGATTTGATTACAGATACCCATCTAGGAAAGAAAATCTGCAAGGATACAGAAGGCAGCAAAGCTGTAAGGCCTACTTCAGAACTTACTTTAGGAAAAAAAAACAATAATAAAGAAAAACCCTATCAATGTAGTACCTGTGAAAAGTCCTTTCGTTACAGGTCATTACTGATTCAACATCAGAGAACGCACACTAAAGAAAAACCTTATGAATGTAATGAATGTGGGAAAATGTTCAGCCAGCCTTCATATCTCAGTCAACATAAAAAAATTCATACTGGAGAAAAACCCTATAAGTGTAACGAATGTGGAAAGGCCTTCATTGCTTCTTCATCACTTATGGTACATCAGAGAATTCATACTAAGGAGAAACCTTATCAGTGCAATGTCTGTGGAAAATCTTTTAGCCAGTGTGCTCGCCTTAATCAACACCAGAGAATTCAAACTGGAGAGAAGCCCTATAAATGTAGTGAATGTGGGAAAGCTTTCAGTGATAAATCAAAACTCACAAGACATCAGGAGACTCACAATGGAGAGAAACCCTACAAATGCAATGATTGTGGGAAAGCCTTTAGGAATAAGTCCTATCTTAGTGTACATCAGAAGACCCATACTGAAGAGAAACCATATAAATGCAATGAATGTGGGAAATCTTTCAAGAATACCACAATTTTTAATGTTCATCAGAGAATTCATACTGGAGAGAAACCCTTTAGATGTAATGAATGTGGGAAAGCCTATAGAAGTAATTCAAGCCTTATTGTACATATAAGAACTCATACCGGGGAAAAACCTTATGAATGTAATGAATGTGGGAAAGCATTCAATCGTATAGCAAATTTCACAGAACATCAAAGAATTCATACAGGAGAAAAACCCTATAAATGCAACGAATGTGGAAAAGCATTCATTAATTATTCATGCCTTACCGTACACCACAGAATGCATACAGGAGAGAAACCTTATAAATGTAATGAATGTGGAAAGGCCTTCATGCGTTCTTCATCCCTAATTATACATCAGCGGATTCATACTGAAGAAAAACCTTACCTATGTAACGAATGTGGGGAGTCTTTCAGAATAAAATCACACTTAACTGTGCATCAGAGGATTCATACTGGAGAGAAACCATATAAATGTACTGACTGTGAGAGGGCATTTACCAAAATGGTAAATCTCAAGGAGCATCAGAAAATCCATACTGGAGTGAAACCTTATAAATGCTATGATTGTGAGAAATCTTTCAGGACTAAGTCCTACCTTATCGTACATCAAAGGACCCATACTGGGGAAAAACCATATAAATGTAATGAATGTGAAAAGGCTTTCACTAACACATCGCAACTTACCGTACATCAAAGAAGGCATACTGGAGAAAAACCCTATAAATGTAATGAGTGTGGGAAGGTTTTCACAAGTAACTCAGGCTTTAATACCCATCAGAGAACACATACTGGAGAGAAACCATTTAAATGTAATGACTGTGGGAAAGCATTTAGCCAGATGGTACACGTCACAGAACATCAGAAAATCCATAGTGGAGAGAAACCCTATAAATGTGATGTCTGTGGAAAAGCCTTCAGGAGGGGTTCCTACCTTACAGTGCATTGGAGAACACATACTGGAGAAAAACCCTATACGTGTAAGGAATGTGGAAAAGGTTGTATCACTCTATCACAGCTAACTCTTCATCAGAGAATTCATACTGGGGAAAGGCCCTACAAATGTGAAGAATGTGGAAAAGCCTTCAGAACCAACTCAGATTTTACTGTACATTTGAGGATGCATACTGGAGAAAAACCCTATAAATGTCATGAATGTGGAAAAGCCTTTAGGAGTAGCTCAAGCCTTACTGTACATCAAAGAACCCATCAGAGAGAAACTCAATTAATATAAAAAGTAACAAACCATTCATCCAGATGTCAGCTCTACAAGGAGAATCTTATAAACTGTGTCTTTTATGAATGTGGGAAAACTTTCAGGAGCAATTCACCAGAAAACACACACTTAAGGGATACTTTATAAACATAAAAATGTGGAAAACTCATATTAAATCTTAGAAGTTACAAGCAAATTCACAGTAGAGAAAAATAGTGGACAAATGAAAGCCTTCACCCAGATTTCATACTTTGTTCACTTAAATTATCTTCAATGAATTGCCTATAATTTTTTACCTATTTTTCTATTGGTTTGTCTTTCTTACAAATCTGGAGGTGCTCTTTATATACTTGAAATATTAATCCTTTGTCATGTGTGTTTGAAAATTTTTTAATCTAGCATTTGTTTTTATGCTTTTTTATATGGTAAAAGAAGTTGCCACATTTTAATTTTTCATAGATATTTATTTTCCTTTTTAGATTAATTTACTCTTTTAGTTAAAAGAGTCTCCTTAATCCCTAGGTTATACATAGTGTTCTAAATTTGTTTCTAAGATTTTGTTAATTTTATATTTTATATTAAAGTCTTTAATCTGTCTGAACTAGATGGCTAGTCATAGAAGAGCAAATTGCCATTAATCTCTGAAAATATTATGAACCTAAGGTAGTACTCAGGGAAATGCAAATTAAAACAACCAATGAGATGTCACCTCCACTAAATGGAGTTGGCAAAAATTAAGAGATCTTTTGGTAGTGGGATTTGGGAAACCATGTACTCTTAACACAAACGGTTATGTATCAACTTCTATTTCCACCAGCAATTAAGCAATATGTATTCAAATATTTTAATAACATTTTAAAATAAAAATACTTTGACCTAGCAGTCTCACTTTGGGGATCTTCCCCACAGAAATAACAGCATCAGTGCATAAGAATACACATAAGTCAGGATTTTTGTTGAAGTATTGTTTGTAGAGGCAAAGTAGAAAACCAAGTGGAGACTAAGTGAATGCCCATTAATTGGGAAATGGTTGAATAAAGTGTGATATAGCCATTCTATGGAACAGCATGAGAGTAATTTTTAAAATTAGTTATATCTACACTAGTTGATCTCAAGGTATTTCCACAATTTTTAATAACTAATTGCTTTATTGCAGAGCTTTATGTGTACAGGATTTCATTTTTTGTTAAATGATCATTCCCATTTATGTATATGTGTGTATGTGATGAGCATGGAAACAAGTATATATACTTGGCTGAATATATACCAAGCTGTTAATATTGGTTACCTTGAAGGAAGGGAGAAGAGAAGTAGGGGAAAGGACTAGAAAAAAAATTTTTTTTTTAATGTAAGTGCAGCATGTATGGTATAAAATTCTATATAAAACTGTATTTGTATGAACTTTTGAGAACTACGAATGAAGGATGGTCTCCAAAAAGTTAGATTGTTTTAGAGTTGGGGGAGTATGCAGTACTTTTTGTCCGATTACTGCACTTCTATGTATTTTATAAGCTTTCCTTCCCAACAAGCATGTGATATTTAACATAAACAGGAAACACCTATTTTACTTGTGAAGGTAATTTACTGGACACCTGTTATGTACCAAGAATTACCCTAATATATTGGCATGGTAGGGACAGTCAGGAATCTAAGAGCATGGGAATTTGTTCTGATGCTGCATAGATTCCAAACAAGTTACCCAGCACCTCATTACACCCACCCTCTCGGTTTCATTTAGAAGAGGTAGTAATTTCAGACAAATGAGAAACGTACCCAAGAATATCTGGGACTTGTGTTCAGGCTATAAACCAGAAAACTGCAAGCCTCAAGAGAAGCTCCACCTTTAACATGGCACCAAAGGAAAGGTCACAGTGATGAAAAGTTCCATGTACAGCCTCATAGAACATTACATGATGGAATAGAGAAAGGGAAACAACCAGACACCCAAGTCCATAAAAAAGGAAGTCTTGGGAGTTCTGGAAATACTAAGAGTCCTGGAACAAAGATGAGAACCAAAAGGCTATGGCCCTGATATCAGAAGGCCATAACAAACCATGGACCTGATACCCAAAAAGGACAAGACATGATGAGCTATACTTCAGTGGAGGCTGAAGAAAAGAGAATCCCAGTACTCCTCCCACAATGTTGGAATATGTATATATCCAATATTGGGGAGGAGATATTGGATAAATGATAGGAGCTACCTCCCATTACAAGTAAATAATTTGACACTGGTTAAAATGACCATTTCTGATTGAATTTTAATAATGGAATTTATGAATTGTTACCAAGAGACATACCTCCTTTGGATGTAATGTATGGGTTTCTGATTGGAAAGTTTAGAGTTACACCTTGACATACTATCCTTAAGAAACCTTGCTGTTAAACAGTTGACATGACTTGATGCCTACTCTGTCGGCTGCTTCTTTCTACCTCCTAACCCTCACCACACATAAAACCCTCTGCCCTGCTTTAGAGCCAAACATTTCAAGAAGAGGAGCATCGTCAGCAGGTTTAAATGACATAACTGAAAAGTGTCCACAGGGTTAGGGGACGGAGATGGCACAGGCTACCTTTACAAGAGCAGTTTCGGGGCGCCTGGGTGGCTCAGTCGGTTAAGCGGCCGACTTCGGCTGGGGTCATGATCTCGCGGTCCGTGAGTTCGAGCCCTGCGTCGGGCTCTGCGCTGACAGCTCAGAGCCTGGAGCCTGTTTCAGATTCTGTGTCTCCCTCTCTCTGAACCTCCCCCGTTCATGCTCTGTCTCTCTCTGTCTCAAAAATAAATAAATGTTAAAAAAAAAATTTTAATACAAGAGCAGTTTCAATGGAGAGGTAAGCCTGGTTCTAATGTATG